AAACTGTTTCAATGTTTCACTTAACCCTTTTGGGACTTCCCCTCCTGCAGCAAGCAGACCTCGATCGAGATCGAGCAGCTCAGTGCCCGTGTGGTGGAGGCCGAGACCCGTCTGAAGACCGAGGTGATCCGCATCAAGAAGAAGCTGCAGATCCAGATCACCGAGCTGGAGATGTCCCTGGATGTGGCCAACAAGACCAACATCGATCTCCAGAAGGTGATCAAGAAGCAGTCGCTGCAGCTGACCGAGCTCCAGGCCCACTACGAGGATGTGCAGCGCCAGCTGCAGGCCACCCTCGACCAGTACGGCATCGCCCAGCGCCGCCTGGCCGGTCTCAGTGGCGAGCTGGAGGAGGCCCGCTCCCACCTGGACAGCGCCAATCGTGCCAAGCGCACCGTGGAGCTGCAGTACGAGGAGGCCAGCACTCGCATCAACGAGCTGAGCACTGCCAATGTCAACCTGGTCTCGATCAAGTCCCGGCTGGAGCAGGAGCTGACCGTGGTCGCCTCCGACTACGAGGAGGTGTCCAAGGAGCTGCGCATCAGCGACGAGCGTTACCAGAAGATCTCCGTCGAGCTGAAGCACGTTGTCGAGCAGGTGCATGAGGAGCAGGAGCGCATTGTCAAGCTTGAGACCATCAAGAAGTCTTTGGAAGTCGAAGTCAAGGTGAGATTTTCGCTGCGGGACTATCCCTATGCCCAGTCTAATCCTTATGTGTCTGTGTGTTGTGTTTAATCCTCGCAGAACTTGTCCATTCGTCTGGAAGAGGTTGAGCTGAATGCCGTTGCCGGCAGCAAGCGCATCATCAGCAAACTGGAGGCTCGCATTCGCGATCTGGAGCTGGAGCTGGAGGAGGAGAAGCGTCGCCATGCCGAGACCATCAAGATTCTGCGCAAGAAGGAGCGCACCGTCAAGGAGGTGATCGTGCAGTGCGAGGAGGACCAGAAGAACATCATCCTGCTGCAGGATGCCCTCGACAAGACCACTGCCAAGATCAACATCTACAGGCGCCAGCTGTCCGAGCAGGAGGGCGTCTCCCAGCAGACCACCACCCGTGTGCGCCGTTTCCAGCGCGAACTGGAGGCCGCCGAGGACCGTGCCGACTGTGCCGAGTCCAACTTGAATCTGATCCGCGCCAAGCACCGCACATTCGTCACCACCTCCACCGTGCCCGGCTCCCAGGTGTACATCCAGGAGACAACAAGAACGATCACCGAATAGATCCAGATCCAGATCCAGATCCACATCCATATCCACACCCTCAGCAGACCAACACCAACCAAAAGCAGAGAGATCATTTTTTAATCAAAACTCAAAACTCAATCAATCAGAGAGGAAGATCAATGAGATTTCAGGTGCGAGATTGGAGCAGAGAAAATGCGTGAGAAAGTTTTTTTATAATTTAAATTTTGTTTGCCATCCCCGCGCCGTCGAAAGCGATCAAGATCCCCCACAGGGCGGTAGCGGCAGAGGGGGATGATTCGTATAGGTTATACACTATAAATACAATAACACTACACATCCTATCTATATAATAATAATACTATTTTGAAGTTCATGTAATTTAATTAAAATAATGAACCTGGAAAACCCAAAAACCAAATAAAAAACCAAAATCAACGAAAAACTTTTGGCAGAGTTTTTGCGAACAAATATAAATCTAGCATTAGAGAGAGAGACAGTGAGAGAGAGAGACAGAGAAGAGAGTTGTTGGCTTTCAATAAATAACAATCAAATATCAATGATGGATGTGGCGTTGAAAATGTCGATGGAGATTGCAGATGGAAAACGCGCAACGAGTTACAATACGTTACCCGAGTTACAACCGCTTCTACTATTTGTTTTTAGTTCACTTTATGTTTAGTAGGTAAATTTTCTGTGTGCTCGCAACAAAGAAACCCATTTTCGATTTTAAAAAACAAAACCAAAACAACACTGAGCAATTTTCACATTTTTTACTTTGTATCTTGCAATAAAACGAAATTTTATTCATAATAATAACAAATAATAATAATAAACTAAACAACAATTGATCAATTTTAATAATGGCAGAAAGAGGTAAACAATGGAAGGGAACACAGTGCACAGTACATGGGTGTAGAGTAGAGAGGGTATTGCCGGTAGCAGATACTTTTCCTGTTGATTCCATCACTGGTCAGCGTCCCAAACTTAATCCTGGGAAATAGACAGCGCTTCTTCCACTTTGCCTTTGGTTGCGCTTTTACTGATAAGGAAATCCACTCGATTCGAATGCACTCACTACCATTCAAGCTGTTAAAGCGTTTAACAGCAAAAGATCGATGGCTGAAACCCGCCAAAGCAGCAGTAAACCAAAGAAATGATTCTTTAGTAGGGCATAAAATCAAATTTATAATATTTGCTCCGGATCTGGAGCTTTGCTACGTTTTCACTTGAAAAGTGATGACCTACAAATAACTTGTAGTCAGGATCCTGGACAGGCTGGACAGCCTAGAATAGAATCTCGCAACCTGAATTCGTTTCCCTCGAAATACTCCTGGGCAGCAGCTCTAACAGAGCAACAGCGCTGTTAACAGCCAGCTTAACAGCCTGCTACCGCTCTTCTGTAACAGCCTGTGGCCGCTCACTGTTAGCACTGCATGAAAATACGAATAAACTTTTGAATTTAAACCTCTGAATACGATTCAGCGACAAAAAATATTCAATTATTCCAGACAAACACGAGAGTTTTTTGGTGCTGCACTAAATGGCTTGAACAGCTTAGGGGGGAATTTAATGCTAGGGAATGCCAAAGATAAACGATGAAAGTATCTTGGACTTGTGTGCCAAAATAGAAGCTGCAGTGGAGGAAGAGTTCGATAAGGAAGACCAATTTAAAGATGAGAATGTTCCCTTCCATGAGAGAGTGAATGTTTCCCTCTTCTTCACCCCTAGGGACTCGATCAGTCGAAGGAAAAAACAGTTTCATTTTAAGCTATCACTATTTATTAGGACTTTCTTTTGCTCCAGTGCATCGGATGTGATCCTCAGTTCAGAGCAGCCACCGCCACCTTGGCGCCAGTGTTGAGCGTGACGCTCTTGCCGCCATAAGCTCCGCCATAGTGGCTCTTCTTGAAGACTGCAATCGAGAGAACGGAATGGAACGGAACGGAGTGCCATTAGCATTGGTCAGAGTATTTGTTTGTTCAGAGGTTACCCACCTGGATCGATTTCAGCCACGAAGGAGCGCGGTGGCAGGGCGGCGGCATACAGATTGTCGAGGGGACCATAACGCTTGGCCAGCAGAGGCCTGCCCTGCTCCCAGCCATAACGGTTGAGGGCTTGCCAATCGGCGCCGTCCAGTTTCGCGGCGGAGGCGGCAGCACCAGCGGCATTGGTGAGGGCAGCGGCCTGGGCCTCGGCCGTTTCGGCGGCCCTGACCACATCCACGTAGCCACCGGAACCGGACCGGTAGCTGGGCCTGTGGGCCACAATGGCGGAGATGTAGCAGGCCAGGAGCAGGCACAGGAGACGCATGTTGTTGGCGGACATGTTTTGGTGGTGCGAGGAAGCGACTGTTTCGGTAACTAATTAGCCACAGCGAGTGTCCAAATTGCTTTTATAGCAATGCCATTTGAGTTGGCCCGCGATTCGTGTGCTGCCCAGACGTGACCAAACCCCAGTCGGTGCCCACTGCCGCGGGGCAGGCCATGACGAAACTGCAACACTTTCGGGGGGGCCGACAGACCCGCAGCGCCAGCATCACCAGCACCAGCCCCCCCCCCCTCCCCATCCCTCCAGCCTGATAAGGCCCGGAGACTCCACTGGCAGCGTCTCCAATTTCTATGCTCATCGAAATTGCGCGCCAAATTGTGACAGAGACGGAGCCACGACTACCACAACCCCGGGGAAGAGAAGCTGCCCGCTCCATTGATAGCAACTTCCCCCGGCTTGGCACGCTCTGTTCGCTTTTGGTGTGTGCGGTATCGGGTCTTTGCCACGGGGGCTACCATTGTGCTGGTACGCATTGTGCATCTCTATGGGGCGGCTGTGTTCGGCTCTGTTCGGTGGATCAATGAACGAACGAACGAAGCCCCGTCTCTAATTTCAGCCGATAACCCTGCCCGGCAATGCCCTGGAATGTGGATAGGCTGCTTCCGATTCCGATTCCGATTCGCAATCCGGAATTCCAATTCCTACACTCGAGAGGGTAAATCTAAGCTTGTTCGGCCTCTCAGCTTCAAGAACTGTCAGTCGTTTGGTTTCTGCGTATATAGATAGCTTGAGCACAGGTACAGTAGTGACTAGGCTGGCAAGAACCCAACGTTTGTTTGACAACTGTTAGCAGAAAAATCAGAGGGGTTTTACTTTACTCTACAAGAGGAACAGCCACATTATTTGGTTTATTTTGCGTTCTTTTTCCACAGAATTCTGCAACTTTCAAGCCAAGAATTCTCCGTTCTCTGGGTGATTCATTCAAGCGACTCGAATGTCAAGCGAAGGTGGCTAAATGGCCCCACAGCTCCGACGCAAAACAAGTCAGCAAAAGACTTTGCTTACCTGCCAGAAAATATTTCACGAAAATCAGCAAACATTCGTTGGTTCTTGGAAGAGACTTTCGATGCCAAGAAATGGTAATAAATGGGTGAAAAATGTTCCACAAGCAGGTAAAATACTTTTCTATGATGGAAATGGAAATTCTATAAAAAGAGTCGAATTCCTTAAGTTATTGTTTCTGTAAGTATTGGCAATAAATTTAGTCAGAGAAATTCGACTGTTCCAGTTTGATTGTGGAACTCGGTTAGCGAGTGATCTCCGCGTGAAAAAAAATGTAAACAAATTGTACAGCACGTTCTCGGCCAGAAACAAACTCAAAGACATTCCCCCCAAAAAGTTGCAATCGAATTTCGAGTGGCACAGCTGCAAGCAGCTGCATAAAGACCCAAATTCTGGCTCAATCCGACCCGAGTCGGAAGCAGATATACCCGTACACAGCCCCACTGGCCGTACGCCCAAAACTATACAACAAAACCGAATGGGGATTATGTTTTCTTTTTGTATTTTTTATTCGCGCTGCACGGGAGCGAATCCACACTGAGAAGGGGGATTGAGGTGGAGGCGGAGGAGGAGGAGAGTAGCCTTCTAGTATCTGGGTCCAGCTTCGACGTTGTAGCTCTGCTGCTGCTGCTGGCCGTAGCTGCCCTGATTGCCGTAGCCTTGCTGGCTGCCGTAGTGGTTCTCCGGAATGTACAGCTTGGCCACGGGCTCGGCGGGACGGATGGGCAGCACCACCTTGGTGTACTCCGGAGGCGAGACATAGGCACGGTAGTTGTTCTGGCCGGGGTACAGGAGAGTGGCGCCCGCTGGCTGGACAGTCCAGCGTGGTCCGTAGCCACCGCGACGACCGTAGCTGCCGTGCTGGGGTCCACGCTGCGATTGTCCGCCATAGCCCAGCTGAATGGGGCGCAGGATCTCCTGGCCATAACCACCGCGGGGTCCACCGGCAATGATCTCTACGGGACGCTGATTGCCAGCGGCAGCAGCGGAGCTGGCAGCCGAAGCGGCACCTCCATTGGAGCTCTGTCCATAGCCTCCCTGCTGGCGTCCGTAGCCTCCATGGCCGCCACCGCCGCCGTAGATTCCGTGGCAGCTGCCGATGAGGCAGGCGCAGAAGAGAACTGCCAAAGTCTGCAGGGGAAAGATGCGTTTAGAGGTTAGCCACTGGACTGCGAACTGCGGACTGCGGACTGCGGACTGCGGATCGTATAATCCCGAGAGCGGGGATGCATCGATCGATCGGCCTAGTTTACTTACAGCGAATGTGTTCATGGCTATATAATGTTTGTGTCTCGGCTCAGTTGGCACAATTAACAAATGAAACGGCCCGCACAGTTCTTTATATAAGCAAGGTACTATTGTGGCACTCAAAACGTGATCTCGCCGCGAATTTATCACGGCTCCAGCAGCGATGCTCCACAAAGCTTCTCCCGTATTTCTCAGCTTCAGCTTCAGCTTCAGCTCCGGCCCGAACTTTGTCGTTCTGCCAGTTTCGCGCTGTGTGTCCCCCGTTCTGATACCAATACCATGGCTCATCCCACAGCTTTGGCTTCGTATCTGGGAAATTTGGATGCTGACCTCCAGTGCACTGCAGTGGGGGGGGGGGTGCGTGGCCAGGCCGTTGCATGCTTAGGCTGCTGCCTAAACAGATGATGCGGCAGGCGTGCAAACATGCGGCTGGATTGGAGACAATAAACCCAAAAGAAAGCTCACACATGGGAGGGTTTTTCAAAAGAAACTTAAATGATTATATCCGTAGATGTTTATGCGTGAGAGAAGCTCAGCTTCAAATCAAACTGCAGTGCAAAGAAGCTCTCGCTTGGCAAGTTTTCCTTCATAATACTCAGAATAAATGTTCGTTCTGTCACACATACTCGTATATTTTCCATCTTTCACTTGCTAACAATTCCAACCCCAATAAATGTCTGATACGAGGGCGAAAATTATTTCCGAACAATTTTAGGAAATATTACTGGGGAGTTGCCTCGCCAAAGCTTTATAAGACCAGCTTTGAAAGAAATAGGAATGATATTCTCCTCCAACTATTCTGCTTTAGAGCTCCATAGAACTCTTCAATACCCTGCCAAAATGTTAAGCATGTTGCGCTGAAAAGTATGCCATACTCTTGAAGGTTTTTTGTGGCCCCCGCAATATGCAAAAAAGTTTGTGTTCAACATTCACCATTTTTGGTTTGGTTCGTTTTTATTTTCCTCTTCTCAGAGCATAGCTGCTGCTGCTGCTGCTGTTGCTGCTACTGAGGTGTTTGTTTCGTTTCGTTTCGTTTCGGAAATTAGGAAATTAGTAGCCGCCGCGTCCGCCATGTCCATAGCCACCATGTCCGCGGCTGGGACCGTTGTATCCGCCATCGATCTCGTAACTGGGCACGACATACTGGCTGTAGCTGCCAGGTGCGATGACAGCAGCGGCCGAGGAGGCAGCAGCCGCAGCGCTGGAACCAGAGGGAGCCGATCGCAGGATCTGGGGACGGGGACGCTCATAGCCGCCGCCATATCCGCCACGGCTACGACCATAAGAGGGCACCAGGATCTGCTCATAAGCCACACGATCGCCGTCGTAGCCGCCGCCATATCCACCACGGTTTCCACCACCGTACACGGGATTGGCGTTGATGTAGGCGAAGAGGGCCAGGCTGATGCAGACGAACTAGAGGGTGGGGTGGAGTCACGAGGATTAGTTGGCTGATCCCTGGACAGCGGCTGGGAGGACTACTTACCAGGTACTTCATGGTGAATGCTTAGTTTTGTTGGTTGTGGGATAATCAATCAAACTATAACTTTCCCAGCCCGAAACGCTCGCTTTTATACGCGAAAATTTGACTGGATATATATACGTGACCTATATACTCGTACGATCCACATCCACATATCGAATACGAAACTATATACAAAATATATTATAGTGCCATACTGTGTACACATAATTGCTTAATGTACATATCCATATACATACTTATGTACATACATACATATGTATTTAATTTATGTATTCCATTTGCATTGCATTTGTTGTGGGCTTGTTGTTGGCTCGAGTCGCGAGCCATTATAAAATCGCTTGGGGTTACGCGATGTTCCATTGTTCCGATGCCTGATTGTCCCAGTCCAAGCCCCCCCCCTCCCCGACGACACACGACTTTCTCAATGAACTCGCGAACGCGTTTCAATAGAGCACCGAAAATTTGTTGTAAAATTATTTGTCATTTCAATTGCACATTCTTGGGGCTAACGTTCTGTGGGTGGCTTGGCTCAGTGTGTTTTAGGGGGTGTACTCGTAGTAAAAGTGCCTAAAACTGCTCCGTTGAATGAGAGTTCCGTATAAGGAAGCAGGCTGTATGACTGGCATTGATTCCTTAATAGAGGACAAGTGTAAAAGGTCTCTCACGAGTAGAAGTTTGAATGGAGTGCAGTGCAGTCTTTTCCTACTATTATTCTGCTATAAGTCTACAAGAAGAAATTCTAAAAAAAAAGGAACCTAAAGAGCTTAAAATTCGAATTAATATTCCTAGGGCATTGTCGCCAGACTTCTGGAAAAACTCTTTTAGAAAACCTTAGCAATACCTCAATGGAATGCGAATAAATTTTCAGCTCTTCTTTGGCCACTCCATTCACACGAGTTTGCATTCAGTTCAAGCCAAGACAGAATGCAATTGGCAGAACTGCAACAGCGCTTGGCTCAGCGATCAACCGACAAAGCCATGAGCCAGAAATCTGAGCCCACAACCCACCCAATCGAATGAACAAATTCTAGAAGTTTAAGTCTTGACGTTTCGTTGCATTTATTGTTAGATTCACTGTGGTTGTTGCGCTTTGGTAGCCCTAGTAGCCGGATGACTTCCTGTATCCCTTCTTGCCAACGCCAGCCACTGAGCTGGAGGCAGCCGCCGCCGATGCGCCCTGGGCCTCCTCACCGCGGGCGTACCTCTGCTGGGGAGCACCATAGTTGCTGGGGCCGTAGGCAGGCTCCACACGGCGTGGGAGCTCGCGCCAGACGAGGGGACCTCCGGCACTGGGTGCGGCCAGGGCGAGCTTGGCCAGGGCAATGGCCTCACGATCTACGGGCGGTGCACCGCCATAGCCGGAGCCGGAGTACTGGCTGCCAATGTTGGCATTGCCGTACGCAGAGGCAACGGGTGCCGCCTCATAGCCACCGCCATATCCTCCCTGGTTCTGGCCATAGCCGCCCCGCTGTCCGCCGTACGTGGGGATGATCGCCTTCACGGTCAGGGCAGGCTGCACCTGGTAGGCGTAGGCACCAATTGGTGCACTGCCGTAGCTTCCACGGCGACCTCCATATCCGCTGGCCGAAACGGCAGCCACGACGCAGACGAAAATGCACTGAGGGGCGGGCAAGAGGAAGGATCTAGATCAGTTTGGGGCTCCGGAGGAGGGCAGGCTGTGCCGGACACTTACCATGAACTTCATCATTTTGTGGTTTGGTTTGGTTTGGTTTGGTTTGGTTTCTCTGCTTGTGGGGGGTAACTAATGCCTGACTGCGGCGGATAGTATGTTTTTATACGAAATCCAGGCAATAATAATTCGCTTACGTGACTGGGGAATGTGATGCAATTTTGGCTCTCGCTGGAGTTCCCGAGCTCCCGAGTTTCCGACCTCCCATTCTGCGCTTTGTGCAGCAATCTCAAGACGTCGCCAACGACGACGACGACGACGACAACGACGTGTGCAGCAGGCCAGACGAGCGCCAGAGCCCAAAAACCTCTTGGCTCTCAATTCGGCTCCGGTCCAGATAGCAGGCGTCTTCGTCTTCGTCGTCTGTGGTTATGCGGGAGACCCCCATGAGCCATTACGCAATGTGTTATGACTCGTGCTCCCAGTGGCAATCGGAAGCAGCAGCTCGGAAGCTTCTCCATTATTGAACACTTTGCCACGACTCGTGACCCATTTGATTGCCCATTTCTGTCCACTTTTGGCTGGCACCGGCTCCACGGTGCTCCATATGCTCCATGCCGAGCCGTGACATCGTTTTTTGTGCGGTGACACACAAAAGCCAAAAGGCATTGGCTTCAATTTTCTGCTGCGTTGGTAGAATTTATATACAAAAGCAAAAAAACGTTCAGATAAAATTACAATAAAATTATAAACAATAAATCAGCCAAGGCAGAGGGTGGGGGAGGGGCGGGCTTGTTTCTATTTAAAAATGCCAAGCTAAGCTTTTCCATAATATTTTTATTAGCGAGCAAAACTTTAGGAAATTGCGGTGCGAAATAATGAATTAATTAGAAGTTGAAAAGGCTCAGGGGATCAGCATCCTATAGATGGATGAACAGTGCCGTGAGCCCGCTTTATTATTGGCATTTAACTTATGAATTATGCAAAACTTTATAATAATAAAACTGGGAGAATAACATAATTAAATATTCGTACAACTTAAAGTCATAATTCTAAGAGAATATCAGATGATTTCCATAATAGTTTAAGAGGCTAGTCTGCTGAAAGTTAAGAGTGAAATATATCCCCAAGTAGGTGCGATTAGAGCCACAGCCACAGACCAGCCCCAGCCACAGACCAGCCTCTTGTTGCGACATTTCGAAGCGGCGATTGTGGGTGTGTCTGTGTGTGGCATCCAATCTTGATGAGCGACACGTTTTGGGCCCAAGACCCTCAGACTTTATAAGAGCTGCCGTGCCCATGGCCAGCACAGAGAACTTGGCTGCCCAAAACGCGCACAAAATGAGAACACTGCAACGACGCTGCAAGGTGAGAGATACAGATAGATAGATAGATAGATAGTGATTGATATTGTAGATTGATAATGGAGTTGCTTTGACAGATCCTACAACTGGCTATGGTGGTGGTGCTGCTGCTGCTGGTGTCGTTTCTGCAGATGGGCGCCGCTGTTGGCCGGGTGGATGATGCGACCAGCGATGATTGCCGTTGCGGCAAGCGGGGCTAAGCACTGGCCCCCACACACACAGCACACACAGAGTCGGAGAATACATCAATAAACAAGCGACAGCAAGCAATGCAATGCATACAATTTGATCGGGTTTCTTTATGAAACCCCCTAGAAGACACGTACAGAGCGGTGCGGCTTCTGGCCTAGCCAATGGCGAGGTGAGCGTCGCACATGGCTTGTAGCCGGCCGAGCAGCGTGTGCAAATGCTTTGGTGGCGCTTCAGCGTGTGCTGCTGCATGCTGGGCCCCTGTCCCATGTTTCCCAGTCAAGGTTTCCATATACATGCGCTTGTACAACGCCGACAGCTGTTTGGGATCCTTGCCGGTCAGCAGCAGCTTCGTGAGCGTCTTCAGTGCATTCTGCAAGCGGCTCTCAAAGAGCGACAAATGTGCGGCGAACTCGTCGTCGCCCTGGCTCTGGCTGGCACTGTTACCAGCATCGATGACGTGGCCAAAGATGGGCTGGCACTGTAAACAAATCTCCAAAGCAGCTTGCATTTGCTTGATCTTCTGCGCTGCGTGGGTGGAAACTGGCGAAACAAATGGCTTAGCATACGACACACTCGGGTGGACTTGCTCGTGAAACTTACGTTCTGCCAGAAATTCATGCAGGGATATGCGCTCTAGTTGCACCACCAGCAGGTCCCCCACCTCCTTGAGGCTCTCCAGGATTTGAGTGGACTTCTCGTAGTGATATTTGCACAGCTGCAGCGTGGCTTTGGGCAGCTGGGAAAGATCACAGCAGCCGTGCGATCGCAGTTGCGAATAATGAAAGGAGGCGATCCTAAAGAGAAGGAAAACGTTACTGCCAACAGATCTCTTCAATCTCCGATTGAAGTGTACCACTTACCTTTTGTGTATTAGGCCAGCACGAAAACTGTAGAGCACTTGGCGTGCGCCGGCATGTTCCACATCGCACAGACGCAACGCTTTCTGCAGCAGTTCGAGCACCTCTTTGGATGCCTCCACAAGGCTGTTCTTGTCCGCCGCACTGTGATCCTGCAGCTGTTTGGCTAGCGTAAAGGTGGCAGTGGATAGCTCCCAATTGACAAGATCCCAGAGTTCGGCATTCGCTTTACGCGTGTCCAGGCAGTCTTTCGCCTTCTCGTAGTAGTTGAAGGCCTCGTTGTAAAAGGCTTTTTGTGAGTCTAAAGTAATGGCACTGCCATGGTCGTGGAATGTAATCGATGCAGATTAAATTCAGGATGGACCCATGCTAGTTACGAACCTCTCATTGGGCATGGTCAGATGGGCACGCAGACGCATAAATCTGCCCATGTTGCAGTAGAGAAATGCCAGATTAACATTATCCTGCACTGCGGTGAAGGCTTCAATGCCCCGACGCAGGCAATCATAAGAATTGACAGTCAGTTTAACGTAGAGCGGCTCGGCAGTGGCATTCTCTTCCTGTTCAGCATCTCCGGCAGCTTCCGGAGTCTCCTTCTTCTTCATTACCTCGCTGTACTCCTCTGAAATGTTTAGATTTCGATTAGAATTCCATGTCCCGCTACCAAAACTCACCCTGAGCCCAGTACATGTACTTCAGTCCCAGCTCGTTGCGTACGTTGCCCAATCGTCGGAGCAGCTCATTGCTCTCCGCCTTCTGGGCATGCTCCAAAGCCTTCTCGTAGCACTTGCAGCTGTGCAGCATCACCTGTTCGACGTTTTTGACGGGCGCCAGTGAAGGCAGCTGCTCCTCCTCCTCCTCGCCCAGTTCCAGGGACAGTTCATCGCCAATCACCCGCGTCGACTCGTCCTGCTCTTCGTATTGCCGCACATACTCATCGATGGCCTCCCAGTGCTTGGACATCTGAAAGAAACAGTCGCCCGCACGGCCCAGCAGGCAGCTCTGCTGGGACACCACATTGGCCATGTACTTGTTGAGCACCTGCTGGCAGCGGGAGGCCAGCTCAATGGAGCGCAGCGTGGCGCCGTACTGGTGCGACTCGTAGTGATGCTCCGCGAGGGTGGCACCCGTCAGGCAGGCTTTCTCCAGCAGCAGCAGCTTCAGATGGACATTCCACGAGCCAAAGTGCTGCGTGTTGAACTTGGCGCTGAGCTGCTGAGTGTTGTCCGTGGTGGGGGTGCTGGTGGTGGCCAGTTCCTTGGACTTGTTGCCTTTGGCCTTGGCGGGCTTCTTGTTGGCTTGAGCCTGTGGCTGGGACTGGGACTGCGACTGGGACTGTGCCTGGGGTTGGGGTTGGGTCTGCAGCTGCAGCTGCTCATAGGGCAGGGGAATGGCATTGAATGGCCTGGCCATATTGGGGTTCTGCTCCTCGTGAAGGATGCGCTGCTTCTCCTCCTGCTTGGCAATGGTCTCCGTTTCCTTGAGCTTCTCCTCCTGATTGCCATTGAAGTACTGCAGGCAGGAGATGCCCGCACTGATGTGCTCCAGCGAGATGCTGCAGCGTTCCGCCGTCGAGGCCAGCAACGGAGCCGGCTTGGACTTCTTGGCGTGCGATTTGAAGTCCCTGAGCGCATCGCAAATGTGTCTGACGGCCACATTGGCCTTGCCACCGCTCTGCTCGGCGCTCTGATAGTACTTGTCGTTGCCATAGTCGCTGTCCAGCGGCTCATCGTCATCGTAGTCCTCCTCATCCTCCTCATCATCATCGTACAGCGACTGAGTGTCCGAGTCCAGATCCTCGAATTTGGGCGCCTTGGGATCGATACCAGCCGGCACATGCAAGTCCGAGAGTATGTAGTGCGAGGAGCTGACGATTTGCGGATACTGCTCCTTGGGCAGCAGCTTGATGCAGTTGTCCAGCAGGGCGCGTATGCTGCCCGCCGTCCTGGGGCTGATGTGCTGCAGCGTATTCTTCATGTTGCGAGCCACGGAATAGAGCAGCATGCCCACGGGCACGGTGAACGGATTCACTTGCTGCTGCGGCGGCGACTCCGACTCCTCGGCTGCCTGCGTCTGATTCTGATAGAGAGTGGTCAGGTCGTACAGCTTGACCACATCATCGTTGCGTCCCTTGAACAGCCAGTAGGTGTGGCCGGCCTTCGTGGCATTCGCCTTGAGAAAGGCCAAAATGTTCTGGGCCACATTGCGCACCACCTGCGGCGAGAACTGCGAGTTCTCCAGATAGGGCAGATCCTCAGTCTTGATGATTTCGTATTTCTGGACAATGCCATCCAGGTGGTAGCACATCACCACCTCTGGCACATTGCACATGAGATTGTCCAGCCAGTAGTCGATGCCGGTCAGCACGTTTATGGGCTGGGCGGCGTCGCGCAGACGGAGGCTGATGCAGGGTCGATTCGGCCCCCCAAATATGGGCATGTCGGTGCCAATGAGCATGCGGATATCCTCAAAGGTCCACACCACGTTGCGGTTGAACGCATGACTGGACTTGGGATCGGGCACATTCTCCTCGATCTTTGGCTCCGGCAGCACCGGTCCGGTGATGGGCAGTTCCTGACGTCTGCTGGTCAACTGTGTGGGCGTGGTGTGCACATCGTACTCGCCGCCATCGCCCGTCTGCTTCAGACTGTGATACAGAAACTTGGACAGCAGATTCTTCGTTTGCAGAGCCTCTCGATTGCGCTCCTTGAGGCAGTAGTTGTGCTGCTTGTCGCCAAACGACAAGATGTGCTCCAGAATGAACGTGCGCAGCCATTTCCAATCATCGTCCGACTTCCGCAGCAGATATTTCTGAATGTCGAACTCGTCCAGCAGCAGGGTGTTGCCCACCTTGTGCACCACCATGCTTATGGGACTCTGGGCACTGTACGGCAGCTTCAGCAACTGCTTTATGTTTTCCGCATCGGACACCACATCCACCTCGCCCACACAGTCGGGAAACATCTGGCCCAGCCGAAAGCTGGCGAAGCCCGCACTCTGGTACAGGGCCTGATGCAGGCCATGGCTGCTGTGGGAGGTTGTCAGCCAGTTGAGGGGCGGCAGATTCAGATTGGTGTTGCATTCCAGGCGCTTGAAGTGGGCCGGCAGCTGTACGGGCGATAATTTTATAACAGCCTGACTTTTCACGGCGTCCAGCTCGTGCGGCCCGATGCTGCGGCAGGGTTCAATCTAACGGGAAATCAATCATCTATTATTTATTTCTCAAGTGCGCAAAGACTTACCTCTTCGTTTCTATCCTCCATGCTTGTGGTTTTGCATTTGTTCGCCTGCTAGTCAGCCAATTTCTCGTGGAACATTCAAGAAAATTCGACAAGAAAAATGTGTTTTGTTTTGCCGGCACATAGATTGTGCGAGAGGGAAGGAGAGAGAGAGACACGTTGGCTGCGTTTTTCAGCACTGAAAAGTTAGCTAGAAAAAAAAAGCTGAAAAAAAAATCTATTAATATTATGATGAACCTGCCACTTATTCATACTTCTTACGTAGTAGGTGGCAAAATTAAAAGAGCGGACAAACTCATGTCTTTGTAATCAATACTCTAGCTTGCCACAATTCACAAAATTTTTACCGCAAAGTCAGATCTGACGGGAAAATCGGCAGCTCTGATTGCTCAAGCAGCTGACTTGTTTTTTGTCATTTACCAACACAGCTGGAACTATTTTTGTTATTTCCACGAATATTTTGCATTTTGGCTAAAATTCACTATCATTGGCCATAATCTGACACAAAACGATGGAACTGCTGCCACTTATAGCCCTGCTCAGTCTCATCAACACGATCCTGCCAGATTTCATACGCAACTACGTAAGTCATCCTAAAAATTGTGCCCCTAAAGCAGCCGGCGGCTAAAGGTTGCTCTTCCTCCCACAGGCGAAGGTGTCGCGTTTTTGGAAGACCAGCAAAGCGCACACACGGCAGTGGCAATCCGAGATAGATGCTGCCCGCGAGGAGCTGGACAATGTGCGCAATGCCGAGCATGCGGGGGAGTACGCCAAGGCCATAAAAATTATGCGAGCAGAGCGGAAAGTCGCCGATGCAGAGACCAAACTGAAGTCGGCCAAGAACATGGACGCCTTTAAGGAGATGGGCATCGATACGGTGGCATATTACGTGTCCAAAGTACTGTTGGCCCTGATCCTGATCGTTGTCAGCATCCTGAATCGCAGCACACCGGTGATAGTCATCGACCTGGGCATCAGCCTGGCGCCCTTCACCGGCCTACTGAGTTTTCCCACTGGAGTGTACAATGCCGTTTCTGTGCCCGTCTGGGCGTTCTCCTGCAATGTCACCTTTCGCTTGATCTACGATATGATAATGAAGCGCGATGCGTGAGTGGAGTGGATGCCGTGGAACCAAAACTATGCGTTTAAATGCAATTGATATATAGATATAGCTCTTAGATGGCGCTCGATACATTAAATTTTTATGTTATGCTTGGCAAACGCTTCGTTAAGGCCACGATTTTAACCTTATAACTCTGTAATAAAAATATTTTCACATATTCATTTCAAACTGCGCGCCCTTTGGCCCTTTACCGCCAACGACTTGCAGCACTACTGCACAGTGCTGCGAAACGCTCTCTCTCTCTCTCTCTCTCTTGTTGTGGTTAGCTGTGTGCGTGTCATTTTGCCCCCCGAAACGGATTGTTTGCACGAAAATGGACAAACTAAATGAAAATGTTCGCGAAAAGAAGCATATTAAGCTGGGAGAGATTGACTCGGGCCCCATCCTTGTGGCCCTGCTGCTCGGCTTCATTGCTGTGGGTGAGTTGGACACGTGGTTTGCTCTAGAAATAATGCTAATTCCAATGCGGTTCATTTTCAGCGATCTTTGTCATTCTGCGACGACGCTCGGCAGGCCGCAGGGACTTTCTCCTAACCGGGCTAAGTGAGTCCGGCAAGAGTGCCATATTTATGCAGCTGCTGTATGGCAAGTTCCCGGAGACCTTCACGTCCATCAAGGAGAATGTGGGCGACTATCAGGCGGGAGGCCACTCATCCGTTCGCCTCGTGGACATACCCGGACACTATCGCGTGCGGGACAAATGCTTCGATCTGTATAAGCACAAGGCCAAGGGCATTGTTTTTGTCGTGGACTCGGTGACGGTGCAAAAGGATATCAGGGATGTGGCAGAGTAAGCAACAGCCATTAGCCATCAAACGAGATTCCCCTTATTAGCTCATTCCTTGCAGCACTCTGTACACCATTCTGACGGACAGTGCCACGCAGCCGTGCTCTGTGCTGGTGCTGTGCAACAAACAGGACCAAACGACAGCCAAGAGTGCACAGGTCGTCAAGAGTCTGCTCGAAAAGGAGCTGCATACCGTGCGGGACACACGCAGCCGCAAGCTGCAATCCGTGGGCGATGATGATGTGAACAAGCCCGTGACGCTGGGCAAGCCTGGCAGGGATTTCGAATTTGGCCACATCTCGCAGAATATTCAGTTTGTGGAATCATCTGCTAAGGATAAGGAACTGAATACCCTGACCGACTGGATGGGCCGCATCATGTGAACGAACACCCACCCGAGAGAGATTAAGAGAGTGGGGACTGAAACCCAATAACCTTTGAATCCTAAAACAACCGAGTGCGGAACAACACCCCCACAGCAACAACAAAAACAACACAATGATATTTATATAAAGTTTAGCTGTCCCTTTTTATATGCTCCCTCAAATCGTAACTACCAAGTGTATGCCATGCCTGGAGGTACGTACGAGTAATTCCCTTATTAGAATGTTAGATCCCCCATACCCTTTGGCCACTTCTTTTCGTACTACTGCTGCTCGGAAGGGCTATTCGTAGGCTTTAAATCGGAATATTGTATCAAATTAAGAAGTACATATATGAAATATTGAAATTATGCTGCGTATTATTGGTCATACTGGGCATGGCATGTCTCTGTATCCCCAAAGATCCAGGTACAGTGGCGCCACTGTCAGGTGTCATGTCTGGTGTATTCACACCTATAAAGCCGCAGATCTACATCTCTTACACCTACCATCTCCATTACCGCGTTATCCGGACTAAAGTACTCCGTTGGCTTGCAGTGGGTGGCGGCCACACCGCAAATTGTGCAGCTTGTCCCTTCTTCCTAACGATTGTCAGCCATCTGGTCGCATCCGGCATTGCTGGCACAGTCCTTGAAGCCAAGAACCAGTAGCTGAGTGAATGCAGCCTCGTTACGACATTTCCCATTATTGGGCATGGACATCTGAATCATCATTTTGTCGCAGACGCTCAGCCTCGGACGTAAAGCTCGCTGTGCATAGTCGATCGAAAAATGCCGGTGGTCCACCCAGTCCTCTTACTTTATTTTATTACCTTGGAGTGGAGTAAAATTCACAAATGGCGTAGATTTTCGACGAGTGCCGTGTCCAAGCGTCGTTAATGCAGCGAGTGGGTTGCCAGATCGAGCGTGTGTTGCCTGAAAAGGGCGAATAATGGAAAATCAAGTGCAAAAAGTGCTTGCCACAAGGAACAAATTATCCAAATAGCATTAAAAAAAGGAAATCTAAAGATTTGCAACCAAGAACAAACTATATACAATAGTTTATGTATATAATAATTATAATACCTATCGATAAATTGCATTCGTGACGTCATTAAAATAAGTACAGACGTCTTAAATTGTCCAGGCAACCCTGGAACGTGCTGTCAAACGCTTTTTGATTTGTGAAAAAATTTTCCCTTTGAGGTTTTGCATTTTGAATTTTTGCGTTTAAAATGAGCGATTTTGAGCCCACGAGTTACGGTTTGAGTGATACCTTCCGTCTGACCAGCTACGGCGACTTGAAGGAATCCAAGGGCTGCAAGGTACCCGAAAGAGTGGTTTCGGAGCTATTGGATACATTTGCTGCCGACTCCTCGACCACCTCAGGCGGCCAGCAGCAGAAATCGAAGCTGGAGCAGATGCTGCTCCAAATGAACATCAACCCCCGCTCGCCGGGCGAAGGAGTGCAGCACCACTTGACTATCGAGTGCCGGTATCCGATCATCGACGATCCCTACACCATGGGGAAAATCATCTGCGCCGAGGCGGTCGGCGATCTCTACGCTATGGGCATCACTGAGTGCGAGCAGTTGATGATGCTGGTGTGCTGGCCCCCTCGGATGACTGCTGACGAGTTCAATTTGGTGTTCGAGCTGATGGAGCAGGGCTTCAAGGATTGCTTTAGAACCACCGGCCCGATGGTGATTTGGGCCCAGTACGCCCATCACAGGAACTGGTTCATCGCAGGCGGATTGGCCTCGGCCTACTGGTCGAAGCGCCATCTGCTGGAACGCGGCAACGCTGTGGATGGCGATGTCCTGGTACTGACCAAGCCCCTGGGCACGCAGGTGGCTATCGATGCCTATGGGTGCATCGGTCAGCCGGACCGCTGGGAGCGCTACAAGAATGTCGTCTCCGAAAACGATGTCGATATAGCCTACCAGCAGGCCGTCCGGTTGATGTGTCACCTCAATCGCAAGGCCGCTCGACTCATGCACTTGCACAATGCCCATGGAGCCATCGCCGTGTCCGGGAGGGGTCTGCTAGCTCACGCCAAGACGCTGGCTCTGCTCCAAAAGCAGTCAGTGTCGTTTGTCATTGACACTCTGCCGGTGATCGCCAATATGGCAGCCGTAGCTAAAGCAGTCGATGGCGCCGACAACTGCCCCCTGCTGCAGGGTCGTTCTGCCGAGACCTCGGGTGGTCTGCTCATCTGCATGTCCTATGAGGAGGCCGTTTTCTACTGCAAGTTTATCAAGGCAGAGGATGACCACCTGGCCTGGATCATCGGCACTGTCCAGAGTGGCCCAAGGGAAGCTACCATCATCGATAACGTTACAATCATCGAGGTTCCTGACAGAACTTGAATTATATTTGATATTATTTGCAACTCGTTCATTAAATCGCATTACAAATTGAATTCTACTACACTACTACATTTACAGACACAGTTACATTCTACGATGCTAACCAATCCGTCTTTCCACCAACAGTGGCCAATTTTCAATGCGCCTCGCGTTCGCACTCCATTAGCAACCGAAGAGGGCAGCAATAAGCAGCAGAAGGAGAGCATGGAATGATTACATATTCATATGGCAGATGGAAGTGTGCGGAAATATGTGAAAGTGCAGTGAAAGAAGTAATTAATAATAGTAATTATAAAAATATTACTAGCATTCACTCAATTCTCGGTTTTTTTGGTTTTTTTCTTTTGTTTTGTCGCGGGATCTCTTACAGTTGTCTGTGTGTGCGTGTGTGAAAAAGCGCAAAAAGTGCGCGTATGTAGTGTTGTCCCTTTCTCACTCCAGCATGTAATAGCCGCAGAGAAAAAGAATAGCAACAAGGAATAACGGCTCTTCTGCAAAGCGTCGCATTATAAGGTGAGGCATTCCAAGCATTGGAAATGTCCCGCTCACCTTCAGTGTGTGTGCCTTGTGCACTCGAGAAAAATAGTCGAAAGTTGTCTTTGCCGTGCGTACAAATTGAACAAAAGGTCTGATCAAAACGAGAAATGTGAAATGTGACGGACGTTCGTCCGTCGTAACTTTTAAATCGTGACGCATTCACACGTGTATTTGCGAAAAGAACAACAAAAGCAGAATGGAACTAGTAGCGGTACAAGAAGGTAAGAGAGTGGATAATTATTTAGTAAAAGATGACAGGTGTGGAGTCCCACATCGATCGTAAAGATTCTCTTTTAATAAATTCATAAAAGTTTACGAAACTATGCTTGGCTATCTGTAGATCTGTATATCCCATGTATCTTTAACCCCTTTGGTGACAATGACCAAATCAAACTGCCAGCTGGCGGAGATTCCATAGTGTAACTGATCTGGAATTATAATACGAATTATTTGTAGACAAAATCAATCTGTACCCGTATTAGTGCCCGTGCCAGCATTTTGCCTTGAAGAAACAGTTGGCAGAAAAACAGTTCCGAGCAAGGAAGACTCATTGACCAAATGTTTGGCGCATGCGCAAGCTTTCAAACCTTTTTCGCGATTTGAGACCTTACCTTCCTGCCTTCCAGGCAGCAGAGCAGCCGGAGGAGCAGCTGTCGATCCCTGGGATCCCTGACCGACTGGGGCCGATCAATCCATCGATCCGACCGGCCAAAGATCAAAAAGCCGCCACACAAAAATCAATGACTAGATAGAGTTTCTAGGCTGTGGCTAAATTTCTAAGAATTTGAAGCTTTTATGATTTGCCGATTTATCTTTTTTTTGTGTGTGTGTGTTTTTTGGGGAAGTGACTCTTTGGGGCTTGTGCTTCGCTGGGCGGATGTCCCTGTCCCGCGGTCCATAGTCCACAGTCCACAGTCTTTGTGTGGTGGTGGCAGCTGCCATCGCCAGCTTTAGCAATGGGTTTGATGGTCAACGTTGGTGGCACGCAGAGCGGATTGATGAGCGGACAAACCTTGCGAATTTCGAGGAAACCCCGACATTAAAACAAAGTTCGAGACGAGCCATCTGAGTGCTCAATGGGCTTGCCTAATCCCTAAAAAAATGTTCTTGGGTGAACTTTTGAGGAATCGAATATGAATTTAAGGTATAATTTACCTTTTTGAACTAGAACTAGATCGGATATATCCAAGGTTTTATGCACCTAAATTCTGTCTTTACTTCTGTCTTTTGGTATACTCTAGCACTTCCTGTCAACCCTCCCACACGCAAACAAACTCCCCACATTAAAAAATCAGTTGCTATTCGGTGTCATGTGCATTGAAGCACGTGCTATACCCAAAAAAAATAGCAGAACAGAACCACAGGGAACTGCAAAGTGCAGCCAGAGACAGAGACAGGGGCAGCGTCAGAGCCTAAGTCTGAGCCAGACTTCTTTTATGGTTCGAACCTCGAACCATATGTTGCAGACACGCTTTAGCCAAGCGGAAGGAGAGCGTACCATCCAGCAGTCCCTCCTTCGACTGCTGCGTACACAGTAGCTGCAAATTATTCACGACTGATTAGACAGAAAAACGCAACAGGCGAATGTCGAAAAAATACGATATCCTCGACCAGAGATCCGATTACAAGAACCGAAAAAAAATAATAAAATCTCTTTTTGGGATGCCTCCAAAATTCACTGGAAGGAAGACCAGACATTGAGATTTTTGAGGCTAGGAGGCAAAGGATCCTTTCGGATCGGGGAGATAGTTGAGAATATTGAATTACGAACCGTTAGTGAAAGAAAAAATTGCAACTTTTCAGTGGGCAATAAATCTGCGATTTTTAGAAAGTATTTTTATGCGATTTATGGACTGGGGATCTCTGTCTGGGGATCTCTGGGGACTGGGCCTCTGCGGGCGTGTGTGCCCCATTATCACCTTATTCTCTGATATTTCTGATATTTTAATAAGTCTGCCCTGCAATTACATGCAGCAGTGGGATGTGCGGTGTGGGGTGTGGAGCAGCTGTAGCAGGGTAAGGCGCCCATTAAATTTTTATGTACACAGCCGCGACGTTTTGTGGGTTTTCCAGGGAGTGTGTGAGCGTCTGAGAGAAAGAGTGAGCAGGGTGTGGGGTGGGGTGGGGTGGGGAATACCTCTCCACTTCTCAGATACAAGTATGCAATTTATTTTAACACATCGTTAAGGCATCGAAAAAATAAATCTTGACGCGTCGGACACTGCAATTATCACCTCTGCATAATCAAAGCAGACGAACAAGGAGAGCAACGCATGCCCCTGGGGTGGACAGCTCCTCCGACAGCTGGGGCCCCAGCTTTCATTTTCGGAACCGTACGTACGTAGCAGCCCCCAACCCACGCGGCAGCCCCCAAAACCTCGCCTCTCTCTCTCGCTCACGCTCTCGATTATAATGGCAGCCCATTTAGCACCTTGTTGACGCGGCATCTAATTAAAGAGGAACCCAAAACCGGGTATTGGGGTTTGACTTTGGGCTTGGGTCTCGTCTCCCTTTCCAGCTAATATCGAATGCAATTTTCATGTAATGCCAAATTGTAGCGCCTTGTTTTCAGGGCCTATCACGATGCTACGGCTACGGATGCCGCTGTGGATGTGGCTGTGGATGCTGCTGCTGCTCCGTCTGATGATGATGATGATGGTGATAATGTTGGACACTTGATGCTTGATGCCTGATGCTGCCCCCTTGTCATCTCTCTCTCTCTCTCTTTCTGTCTCTCTCTCTGGCTGTATCTGTGTATGCTGTCATCGCCCCAGAGATGGCTCTGGGCATCATTCGCTTTCAACAACTTGCAACACTTTCACATCACATCACATCACACTCCCTTAAGCCGCATTGATGATTATTTTTGATTTCTGTGTGCATACATTTCTTGATTAATTATAATGCACTATGTGGGGCTCCCCATCCCCCCCAAGTGGACCCCACAACAGCAGCAACGGCAGCAGCAGCAGCAGCAGCTGCGAAATATCTTTGGCAAATTGGAGCTTTTGTTGTGCCATAAACGTTTTCCCATGACACGATGCCGCAGACTGGCATCGGTCTCTGGACCCTGGGCTCTGGTCTCTGCTGGCCCATGGATAATTATGGGTTCCGAGTGCGTGCTGCGGCGTAGCAAGTAGCCAGTGGAATCAGTGGATGGCCACGCAGAAGCAAATTGTTTGCATTGTCCATGATTCCCAAGCTCAAGCCTGGGTTTAATGGCAGCCTCCGCGTAAGCTTCAGATACCATATTTGGGCTTCGGATTCAGCGTCAGCGTCAGCTTTCATGCTCACCTCTTCGTGTCAATTGCACATCACGCGCTGTTTCATTAAGTTTATTTTTAAAGGAAATTATATTTAAATGCAATAATTTGTTGCCCGTCTTAAAGGAATTTCAGATGCGCCTCTTACTTTGTTCACGATAGGGGGGAACCCTATGCCGGTTTTGTTTTTTTTCTTTTTGGGATAAATTTAGACATTTCAAGGTTGATTTTATGCCAAAATGAAAAAGAAAGTTACTGCAGCTGGGTTGTGTGTGATGAAGACAGTTTTGAGCGGGAAAAGAAATTCAGGGTGCCAAAAGAATCTGCGGGATGAGAGGAGAGAGATGATTGTTATTATTCTAAAGTCTTTGAACGTTTGGCTCTTTGAACACCTGGCTCTCAACCATACATATCGTATCTCATGCATCTACGTCCATTGGAAGTTGTGGAGCTGTGGCAACATTCTAAGGTGTAAGGCCATAAACAAGTGCTGCTGCTGCTGCTGCCGCTGCTGCTGCCAGTGCCGTCATCTAAATGCAAATGTGCAACAAAATTCACTTAAACGCGAAGGACAGGCCACCAAAAGGGGGTTAAGAGAGGCTAGCAGTTGTATGCCATGAACGGGCGGAGCGGAGCGGAGGGAGCTCAGCGTTGCGGCACGCTACTGCTATTCAAAGTCTTTTGCCTTCTGGCAAATTAATCAAAGCGCCCCAAAGGGGGGGATGCACGAGCCGTGGCCTGGCTCAAATATACATACTGGATACTGGCAGCCAGAGGCGAAGTTGGGGGTGAGTGGAGTAGAGTACGGCTTTTACGGCTGGGCCACTGCGCCATCACTATCCCTGTTTCTTTTTTTTTTTTGACGCTGTGACGGTGTGACGCTGTGTTTGTGCAGCGGTCACACTTTTGATTTTCTATAATTTCAGTGTTTTGAAACGAGTCTAAGCCGCTCCCCTCCCGAACCTTTGCCATTCCCTACTGCCTCCACTGCTCCCCGCTCCCTGGCTTTGCCAGCCAAAAACATGCGCTGCTGCGCGGTCAGTCGTGTGCGGCGTAAGGCAACCAAATGTATCGAAATGCAACCGACCGATATAATTGCGTTTTTTTTGTTTTGTTTTTTTTTCGTGAATACACTCACATACACTCACGTACATGGGGATGAGTGTATTCACATCTATTCACTCACATGGTTGGCCGAGC